GCTGATGGTACGAATAATGAACAATTTTTTGAAGGAGAATGTTTTTGTAGTAAATAAGATCATGGAAGTCGAGAACATATTCCTGGCTGAAACGTTTCAAATACGTTTCATTTAGCTTTTTACAATTTATTTGTTTTTAATAGTCTGCAGCATTTCCATTTCGATTTGACAATTTTTCATTTTTAAATTCAAACTCTTCTAAATTGTGAAACGTAATATTTTGACTCCAATAGAAAAAATATTTGCACTGTGACTGAGCTCATTAATATCCCAAATGAATAGTGTTTATAACACTGTATGAAACAAATATGTGCCACATTGTTTTTGAAAATATATGTTGTTTGTTATGTTGATGTAAATGTGCTTTGGTCAATCTCTATTATTATGTAAATGATATGCAAATCATATGCAAATTAGTCCGCCACAGTGGTTTAAATTCCTGGGGAGAACACTGATAGCCCGTCTGATAGTTCTCTCGTTGAAGCTTTACCAACTACGTCCAGTGAAAAGCCCTACGTTTTACTAAAGAAGGATCGTTCTTTCAACGATGGGTGGCTAAATCATTTTAAATGGCTTTGTTACATATCAGACGGAAACGTTATGGAATGTGAAGTTTGTGTGAGAGCGAAAGCCAAAAACCCTTTCACTGACGGGTGTTCAAATTTTCGAAACTCAACTCTCAGCCGGCATCAAGACTCTAGAAGTCACAGCAGTGTCCGTGTGTTGACCATGAAGTCAGACTTTACGGCCGCTCGTCAAGGTAGCAAACGAGAGGAAATATCAAGGTACAAGTGACAATCTGAAATCATGCGCAGCTGAGCTGCGAACTGTTTATGTTTAACGGGATCTCCCTTGCGATTTTTTTACCGATTTCATGCATGTTCATAATTTGTTGTATGAATAAAGACCTTGATAAATCTTAGTAAATACTGGTACTCCTCCATGGAACTCAAACCATCTCATAAACTCTCCATTGTATTGTTTTCCCTATTTCCCTATCAATTTCTTGATTTGTGTATGACCCTTAAATTTTCAGACAAGAGGTCCCAATGACCCCCACATCTAAAAAATGATGTAAAACCCTGATGCAAGGTTAATGCTTCAATAACAAATCATAGCAATTGGTGAAACAATGGTGTAAAATACAAATACATAGTTTGATACAAGACACCATTGAAAGGTCAAAACTGATTGGTTCTTGACAAATTCTGAACAGGCCACGCCTCCAACTGTGCAGTGCTTTCTGTGTAACAGTTAATTGTTCGTAAATGGAGTCAATTTTTGTAGTTTTCTTGATTTATTCTAGTGATATAGGTAAAATAAAAGTAAGTCTTTGGCGAAGTTTGAAAGAACAACTAATATTGTTCAAACTAGTATTTTTTTTATAGATTTTTTTTAATTCTTTTTTGCTGTTTTTCGAGTTTAAAAAATATTGACTCACTGGAGCCTTCATCCCTTGTCTATTTCTTACACTAGATATCAGCCAATACCCCCCCCCCCCCCCATAGAGACTGCGTACAGTTTATCATACTAGTAGTTCCTGGGCTCCCTGTGCTTCTACGGTCTGGGAAAACATTGAAAAGGAATTTCCCAAGTAACTTGCAAGTTACTCGCACGAATCACGTTTGAACCCGCTGTAATATGAAAAAATTAATTACTTTGTTCCCCCTAACGAATGTAACCAGCACCGCTGGCAACCCGAGTCTTCATCTTCTGTTGATGCAACCGTGGAACTAATGTGGTCGAATATTACAGGTGGTACTATAGTATTATAAATATTCACTAGCCGTGCACCGCAGCTAAAACGTCACGGGATACACAATTTGAACTGGTTATGAGACTAACTATCTACAAAAAAAAATGTTGCGCAAATAACTGCATAAAAACAAATTTACTTGTGAAAACCGCGAAAACAATCTAGCATGTACCTTTAGCAGCAACTATGTTGCTCTCTCGCATCTGAGCCGGTTTTTCTCGATCCTTGTACTGTCCTTTTGTGTTCGAATTTTCTGGCATATTTGCAGGAAATATTATTTAGGAAGTGGTATGAACGATTAGTTAGATGTAAAGTTTCTCTATCGCCAGGATGGTTCCGGATTGCCAATTTCTTCGAAACTACGATGTCATGCTTGTCCTAGCGAATCGGGAATTCAAAATGGCTGTAGGTCTCGGGGTGCGCAAACATCTCACTAAATACGAGACTGTTCATCCTCATTCGCAACATGACTTGTCGAGACCTGTAAAACATGTTTTAACATAATGTTTTTGTTTTCCCGCGTGCAAACAAAATTTAACTCGTGATTAATTTAAAATTTTATTAGTTTTCAATGTAATATATTTCAACAACAGACCACATTTTGTGCCATTCAGACGAGGATAACTGTTCTGCTTCTCCGGCCGAGACTGGAGGTTGTTTGAAAGCAAGCAATCAAACATGGCAACAGGGCATACTCTTGCGGTAGTCACAAATTCCTGCGTGAAACCACCTAAGAACCCGAGAACGAAATTGGCTGCAACACTTAATGAAAGAGATCACTCGTTAAGATCATCGTGGAAGGGACAACTGGGCGTCTCCGATTCATATGCATTCGATAACCGAAGAAGAGACGATGTTGACATTATTCCGTTGGAACCTCCAGGTCAACAGTTGTCTCACGGCACTCTGCCTCCAGATAAAACAGATTTAATGATTGCAAGTTTGACTGAAGATGTAAGTAACCTAACCGACGAAGAATTTTATAGGAGATTGATGGAACTAAAAAATGAACACAAAAAGACTTTGGGCATGGTGGAACGTCTTTACTCAGCTCGTAGTGAAAACGAAACCCACCATTGTTACCCAGGCGAATGTATTCATTTAGCAGACCATCACAAAACAAGACATATTGATGAAGAAATTGAGGAGGTAAATAAGAGTTTAGAAGAGCTGCAAAGAAGCTACAGGCTTGGTTCTCACTTAAAAGACAATGTTAGGGATATGTCTGCTAAACCTCCATTGCCCACCAGTTCAAGCAAGCCACAGTCAAAGATCGCTCATTCGGAATCCCCAGTTCGTAGGTCCAGTCCAGGGACACTTCTTCGTAGTAACAGCTACTCAGGAGAGGACTGGAAGGATATTACTTTGAATACAAGCACCAGTTTAGATTTAAGTGCTAGCAATGATGATCTGACTTTGAATGATAATGCTAGTACATCATCGGCACCAACGAGATCACGTCCATCCTCTGCTACAGCTGTCATTGATGATATGTGGGATGGATTCTCAGTTGACGATTATGCACCTCGTTCACGTTCACGTACACGTGTGTCCTCACGAGCCTCATCACGTGCAAGTTCTAAGGAGTGGTCTCCAAAGATAACAATACCAAAACCTTTCAAAATGACACTTCGAGACTCTGGCAGAGTTAAAAAGAAGTCTAAGGCTGCTGAGCAACTGGAGAAAGAGCTACTCGAAAAGCAGAAAATGGAAGAAGCTGAATGTCAAAAGAAGTTCAAAGCAAGTCCAGCACCAGCTCACACATTTTTACCTCTTTATGATGAGATTGTAGATAAACAAGAAGAAAAGAGAATAATAAATAGAGAATTCAGTAAAGAGTTAGTGAAGTCTTATGAAAAACCATTTAAGTTTATGAGACGAGAAGAAGAAAAAAAGAAACGTAGGATGGCTATGTCATTTCCTGTGTCAGAGAACAAGAGCAAAGCAAAACCAAAATTCCGAGCCAAACCAATACCAAAAAGTGTAAAAGATCCAACTGTAAATGACAAAATACAAGAAGAGGAGGAATACAGGAAGATACGCATCAAGATGAGGGCTGAGGAAATGTTGAGACAGTCTTCCCTACCACCTAATATGGAAGTAAGGGGACGAGAGTACACTGATGGGAGGTCAAGACATCGAATGCTGCAAGATCGTGAAAATCGTGCATTTATCACAAAGGAGCATCAGTTTGCACCCAAAATCAATCCAACTGTTCCTGATTATGATGATAATTTTCGCAAATTTCAGAAAAAGATGACGAAAAAAAAGTTAGAGAAAGAAGCGACAGCAGTTCAGCCATTTAATCTTCGTACATCTCGTATTAGGTCAAAGTCTAAGGAAAGAATTCTGCAAGAAATGGAAGAAGATTCAAGAACGTTAGCACAACGATGGCCATATTTGCGCTCACGCTCTATGTCACCAACTCCACGTGGATCAATCAATATACCTGAAGACTCTATACCGGCTAAAATGACCCAAGCTGCTCAGCTTCGAGAAAGTGCTGTCAGGAAAAGCCTTGAAGAAAGAACTGAACAAGAAAGAGCTGAACTGGAAAGAGAAAGAATGAATCGATTGAGAGAGAGAAAGATGAGGAAATTTATTGTGCAAAAAGCATTGGCGAATGATCAGTCTGAAACACTGCAGTCAACACAGTCAAGGAAAATAAAGCAATTCAGGTGAGTTAAAAGCTGCTACAGGAAAAGCTATGGCTAGGAAAACAGTACTATGCAGGAAAACATTTAATATTTAACATTTGTTGATTTACTAGTATTATGTTTTACTTCTACTACATTGTAAGTTGAATAAATTTTAAAATCATTGATAATCTACAGTAGTCTTCACATCAATAATTAGTGTATTCCATAACAACTACAAGTACACTTTTAGGAGTAAGCTAAATGTGAACTACATCTTCCATTCCTTCCATCGTGGCTCATAATCGTATCTCTCAACCTCTAATCACCATGTGTTTATTTCTGTAACTAATCATGAAACTAAATTAGTGTGAAGACAGAGTACGGTTCAATTGACGTAAGATTGATACTCCCATTAAAATAGCTATAATTCACACAAATGTTTATATATAGCAATTTGAGCCAATGTATCAGTAACAATATTTTTGTTTGGGAAAAATAGGAACCAACCTATTTTTTGGGGAGAAAATCATGATTATAAATAGTCCCACAGTCTCGCTCACATCAAAAGTCACCATGACCTGGGCCCAATCAAGTATAAAACAGCTATAGGAACGTATGAGAAATGCATAAATATGTTTATTAAAAGAATATTAATCATATGTAAAAAATATAGTCTCAAATTATCGCCACTCAGTGCTAAAAAACAAATAAAATCTCTGAAACTCGGACATTGACAGTGTTTTTATTCATTTCCCTTTGACCTTCTGTGCTTACCCAGATGCGTCAAGGAACTGTCATGCACATTATAAAAGTATAATTTCTTAGAAAATACTAAATTGATCCCTATTTTTTGTTACATTGGCTCAAATTGCTATATAGAATAAACATTTGCTTGAATTATAGATATTTCAATGGGAGTGTCAATCGTACATCAATCAAACCGCACTCTTCAAAATCGTTAAAACTAATCCTCTTTCTTACAGTCATTCATGGCTTAAAAAGAAAATAATGCTTTGTGTCTCAAACAACACATTTTTTTATTAATACTGGTTCTCTAGTACTAACCTTTTCACCACCAGTTTCCTCTTTTCATCACAAATTCACAAGATTAAGACAAAAATAGCCAGATTTTTTGAGTAAAAACTAAAAGTTGACTCAAATTTTGTCTGTTGGTTCCAAAATTTGGTTGAGAAAGTCTGGTGGTGAAAAGGTTGAGCTGTGAATAATCAGAGAATCACCCAAGACATTGAAATAAATAATAGAGCTACAGTACTAGGATCAATCAAGGCTTTTACTAGCATGAAAACTGTAATACAGTAGACATTGTAATTCAAAGCACTTGTTGTACTGTTGAAAATTGATTGCAGTCAAGTACAAATATGGTTTTGATAGGTATGGTGTGTTTGTAGTTTGAAATATACTAATTTGTTGAGTAATGAATATTAATATTATTGTTATATTTTTCAGACAATCGGAAAGATCAAGAAAAGAAGAATATGAACAGCAATTACATGAAATGATGTCAAGGATTGAAACTAGACCTCTTTTATTTGAAAGAGAATCACAGGTAAGATGCATTTATTTATATTAAGTTAGCCTTTACTTTATTATTGGTCCTTATACCGTATTTATCCGGGAATAAGCCCAGGGTCCTGAATATGGAAAATTGCCAAAAAGAAGGGGTGGGCGTTTGCCAGGAGATCCCCGGCAAAAAAAACGAAAAATTGACAACACCCAGATCGAACTGCAGCAGGGAATAGAACGGCAAATCACAGTCCCTCTATCACAGGGACAGTGGGCAAATGAAAACATGCAACGAAAATAAATGAACAATATGCAACACTAGAAGTAAAACAAAAATAATGTACTGCTTATAATGTGACAAATAAACCAGAAATAATAAAAATCGACAGTGAGAAATCATTTGAATTAGGATTTTCCCGCCGACAAACACGCCCAATATGCGTGAACTCAAAATGAATTAAAATGTCAGGGGTTGAACTGCGTAAAATGATTTCCGGTCTCGACAAATTACGAATCAATCGTCATATAAGATCAATAATAATTTACAAATTTACACAGTAAAAACTATAAAAATTCATAGCTGTTTGAAAAAACTTCTCAGATCTTTATTTGTACGTTCATTGCCATCTTCGTCAAACTCAAAACCCTCAAATGTCCAAGTCGGCGTCACTGTAGCCGTCAAACAAAATCCCTACAACATATTCCTGAAGTTCGGCGATATCGTCCCACACAATTTGAACTTAGCACTTTTAATCCACGGATTTCGCAGTCTGTCAGCTTGGTACTTTTTATTCATGTTTAATCATAATAAAACAACAAGAAAAATG